ATATATATATATATATATATAAACACCCACCCACACACACATATATATACATATATTGAATAGTTTAAGAACACATAATATTGCCCCTTTGTAGTCTTATATTTTGATTACAAATGGCTACAAGGGACTTACCTGGCTCCAGTTCATAGCTCTACAGATTTAACTAAATAAAACTATAGGATTACAGAACATGATGGATAATCATAATCTTTCAAATGTGCCACTCAACAGTGGGCTGTAACTGAGAAAATTCAAATATTGGTGTAACTGTGTCAAAGAAGCCTTATATTTAGCTGCAACACTTAACATTCGAGAGCATTTAGAAATACAGCCAAGTATACAGATTCCAGATGCACAAAATGGGAAATAATATTGTGATTTCAGGCTTCATTGAACTGGAGCGGAGCTGAACCAAACTACAGTTAAACAAATGTCTACAGAGAAAATGGGCAAGAATACATTGTTTTGGCCTTCTTAGGAGCCGATCCTGTGAGGTGCTGAGAAGCTTCAGCCTTTGTTTACAACAAGGGTGTTGAAGATATAGCCTGTGCACTGGATCTGGCTTGTGGAGCCCTAGCACACAACCTGAAGTGCTGCCTGTGGGTCTCCAACTGGTCCAGCAATACCGCATGGTAAAGTTTGTCTGGTGTGGGCTGCACATGGTGCAGGGCTAGTCTAGGTTGTGTTGCGTGCAGCCTGTGCTGGACTGGCCCTGTACTCTGGATACAGGACTGGTCCAGACTGGGCTCACAGACTGGCCACTTGTCTGATCCAGCACCCCAAACTGGTCTGGTATGGGTGCCACAACTAGCATATGCCCTTGCACCAGCCCTGTATGCTGTGTGGCCCATGAGGCTGGAGATGGCACGCTCTATATCAGTGATCACCAACCAGTGGATCACAATCCACTGGTAGATCTCGGAGCCTCTCGCAGTAGATCACAGAGCCTCTTGTTGTCGATCCAAGGGTGGGCTGGGGGGCTGAGTGCCCGCATGCCTGCACGTGCATGCCCCAGGCCAGTAGGTCAGTCCATGGGGGTGGGGGCTAGATCAAGGCCTCCATGGTGAGGGACAGTGCTGCAGAGGCAGGAGCAGGGGGTAAGTTGAGTGGGGACCCGGCCAGGTGGGACTTACCTGCTGGGAAGGCGTGTCCCCAAATAATTTTTTTTCCCTTTGTCTTGATCTGCCCTTCCTTCCCTTCCCACAGACTTACCTGCTGGGTGGCGGATTGGCAGTGATGGTAGATCTTGGGGTGCTTTTAAATGCAAAAGATGATCTCCTACTTAAAAAGTTTGGAGATCACTGATCTACATGCAGTTCATGGGACTGGTTTGGGGGCATATGCTGTATGTGGCACCCACGCCACACTGGCATGCTGGATTCAGGGCTGGCCTAAATTGGGCCTATAGATCAGCCCTGCATATCAGATCCAGCATGCAGGCCTGGGTTGGCACAGGTGCCACAGGTACCATGTGCCTCAGACTGCCACTGTGTCCTGAATGTAGCGCATGCTTCAGACCAGGCTCACATGCCACGTGCCACACATAGGGCTGGGGTCAGGGCCAGAGCTGGTGGGTGCTGCATGTGGTGCACAGGGCTGGAGCTGGCACATGTGCTGGACCTGGTCCAGGGCACACACTTCATGCAGTGCCCACACTGGATTATCTGTGCAGCTGGATCTGGCATGTAAGACCAGTCTATGGGCTCAGTCAGGCCAGCAGACTAGCCCTGTGTTCCTCATCCAGCCTGTGAGACCAGATAAGTGTTAAACCCCTGGTTTACAAGGTTCATGGTTGTAATAGGTGTTCTGCACCCCAAAATGACACCCAACACGTCTCGGGAGTTCTACTATATCACCAATTTCCTTTGCTTGTGTTCCCATGGTGCACACTGCTTACAGTCAATCTGGTGACCTCACAGTGTAGATGAGGAGAATCTCTGAAGCCAAGGCCAAACACCCGGATCCTGCTGCAATCAGAAATTCGTATATCGCAGAGTCCCCTGTTCTCTAAGTCTGTGATTTCTAAAGCGTGATCTGAAAGATTGAGATAAATATAATATTTTAGAGCGCAAAACTTCATATGGTTTTTAGGCCAATTTTATTGGATTTTTCTTGCTGTTCCCCTAGGTTTTTTTTTAACTAACTTCCCTAGTGTTTATGGCTCACATACCTGGTCTGTCTCCTTTGAAATTTCATTTACAAAGGATGCAGTCATATAGAGCAGCAGCAACAATCATCATAGAAGGAGATCAACCTTTGCTAGGATAATAATCCAAATGAGTGTAAAGAACAACATGGGAAGAGATGTTTCCTTTCAAAGGAATTATATCTGCCATAATACTAACATAACTCACAGGGATGTTGTGCCTGTGAGGGTTAAGTCATTCATCAGAGGAACTCAGCTCTGCAGCTAGTCAGCACAAGGGCCATGCACCATTTAAGTTTCACTTAAACCCTGTTTTGAAGGATTAAATGGGACTTAAGTGATGTATAGTCCTTTGCTGTCCCTCTGCCCAAGGTTGAATTTCAACCATTAATGTTTGTAAAGTGCTTTATGATTCTCAAGCGGGTGGCATGACATAAATACTAAGTGGTATTGATGTTTTCCTTATGCTATGATATAATCATCACCCAAGGAAGCACAGGAGAGGAATGTTTAAATCTTTACATACTGAGTTAAATTTTCACCTGACTAAGGATATGGGCAAGCAAACAAGTTACTAGAAGGTAAACAAGGGTGTGGATTTATAGTATGGCAGTGTCTCTACCAGTGTGGATGCTTTTAATCCCTGGTACATGAAAGCTTCTCTGTAGTAGTTTATTCCTCTTTCATTTAAGGGGAAAGGAGACTAAATTATTGTGTATTATTTTAGGTATCTATAATGTAATGTGCCTTTTGCTGTTGAGAGGATCAGAGTGCAATTGTCCAGAATTCTAAATTTTATCCAGGAGGCTGAAGTTAACACCTCTTTCCTTGCAAAAAAATACAATGCAATGGATCTTTGTATCAAGTTACTTACTAATAGCTCCCATCAACATACTATTTTAGTACTTGCCTTACTTCTATCATGACTGGAAGAAAAATTGTAGTTTTTCATTTCTTCAGTCAGACTAACATTTTAAGGGTAGAAGACATTATTATGTACACCTAATCTGACATGCAGCGTATATACCACAGGCTGTAGAATTCATTGTACTGATTGTTGCAACAAATTCATAATTTTGGTTTAGTTGCAGCACCTTCAGCAACACCTTATTGCCTAACACTATAATGGGACATTAGTTCAGTTCTGATTTAGAGGGCAAAGTGCAACCAGCTGAATTGGCAATAAAACCTCCTACAGTATCTGGCTTTTTTAGGGGTCTGCCAACTAAGCACTGACTACATTTAATGCTGCTTAAATTTTGTGATCCCAGAAGGTTACAACCCAAAGCAATATAGTTGCATGCCACTTACTTTCCTTGGTGGGGTGCGGGAGGTGGGGGGAGGGGAGGGGAGGTGGGGAAGGCAAAAGAGCATAATGCAAATGTAGGAAATTGTAAAAGGCATCTCCTGTGCTTTTGAAATGCTTTTATGCAGTCTGGTTCAAGATTTTATTGCAGCAATATTAATGGCACTGTTGGGCACAAAAGCTATATTTACTAAAAGACAAACAGTTTACAGCTTATCAGCATTCACTGGTTATTTGAGTAGTCCTGTAATGTACAAAACTATTAGTCAGATGTAGTGAACAGTTTTGATAAATTGATTTCTTTTGTAGTTAGTGCATAAAAGTAAAAAATGCTTCATTATGCTTTTCATGAGATTTTAATAGTCGCACCCACTAGTGCTGTTGTAGCTAAGATTGCATTAGCTTTACTATTACCTTTTCAGATTTTAAAACAATATTCATATAACCTGGAAAGAAAGCAAAGACAGGAATGGATGTGCAAAGCTTTCTTCTTCACAGAGGCTATGTTCACAGTGTCCCTAAAAGCAGGCTTGTTTGCAGTATAGCCATCTGTGCCCTTTTATATGGGTTTTATCACATCCTATTATGCATCTAAACAACATTGAGTGTTTTGGATAACAGCAAAAGATATTTAGCCACAGTGGAATCCAGAGTGACTTATACCATCAGTCTAGTATATAGTATTTGCTTTATGCCTAGGTCTTTTTACCCTTCTCACAATGTCATCAAATTTGTTTAAATCCAGGGAAAATATTTCTCATATATTTTAAGAAATCTTCTCCCAAGGCTTGTAATGCAATGGGTTAGAGCAGGGTAAACATGGGATAGTTTTGGTGATAATTTTGTAGAAAAAAATTTTGACCTGTGGTTTTCCTGCCATCCCTCCCCTGAGGAAGAAAGTCAGATTTGATTTTTTTTCCCTTTCAGCTCCCTCTGGGAGCACTTCCAGATGCACAAGTTCAGTTGCTGGGCAGAAGTATCTTAATTTTCCTTTACTGGTCCATACCAGTCAACTTAAAGCTGGGTAGCAAAATCTCGGGTGGAAGCCTCATGCAGAACTTTTCACTAGGAGCCTTTTGGGGACAAAAATAGAAGGGGAAGGTGAGAGGGAGAGTGGGGCAAATGGTCATTTTAATAATGTGTTATGGCTGATGTTGCCAGAAAGGGGTGCTTAAAGTTTAGACATGAGATCCAACCAAATTGGCCTGATTTATAAAATCACTCATTTCTCAAATGTTTCTGGAAAATCAGGTGAGGTTCTTTGGGTAGATGTGATATCTTTTATTAAACCAACTGCATGGGCAACTGGTGCCTCCTGAGTCAGGGGGGCACATGCCTCCACAGCTACCAGTCAGCGACCGGGAAGGGGAGATCCTGCCATGGCCAATTGTACTGACTCAGAAGCGTGAGCAGTGCCCCCACTCCCTGGCCGTTGTTCATGGGGGGGCACTGGCGCTTCCACCTGCCCCTCCTGCCTGTTGCCTAACTAGGGAGCGCTGCCTGTCAGGGGGTGCACCAGCGCTCTCAGGGGGTGCACGTGCACCCCTGTGCACCCCCTAAGTGTCACCACTGACCAACTGAGTAGTTTGAAAAAAGTTCTTTGCAAGCTTTTGGGTGCAGTCACCCTTCTTCAGGCATAGGGTGTCTTTGGTGTTCTGAGACTCCAAGGAATGAAAGAAGCTAAAAGTCTGACTGGATGTCAGTGAAAATGTAAATAGATAGAAATTAGGGAAACATAAGACAGAAAAGAGAAGGGGTGGGGTGGGGGGGATGAGGGGGGAAAAAAGCCAAAGGTAAGTAATGGGGACTCTACTGTATTACTTTTTCAAGTTAGAAAAGAGGCTTCCTGTGAAAAAGTAAATAGCTGGAAATTAGGAAGACAAAGGGTAGAAAAGGAGGTGATGGGAGGAAGTGGGGGGGGAAAGAGAAGTGTAAAAGGTCAGGTCTGGCAGGTACCTGGTGAATCACATGTCGAGGAGGTTGTAATGTGTCATAAATCCAATATCTATATTGAGTCCATGAGTTTTTTGTATCCAGTAGATTTATGAAGTGAGGTTCATAGACTCATCTACGAAAGGTGTTTTGTAAGTTCCCTTTGAGGATTAGAACTGAGAAATTGGAGAGAGAGTGATTGTCTTGGAAGAAGTGTGACCCCACAGGTAATTGGGTATTCTTGTCTTTGATAGATTTTTGGTGTGTAACCATGGAACCCTAGTGTAAGAAATATCAGGTTTCATCGAATCCATCCTAAAACTGCTCATCGCCCAAAGACTAAGTTTTATCTAAGATACAACAGACTTCCTGAAAAAACTCAGAAACATAGACCACCTTCCCAGCAATACCCTTCTAGCCACCATGGATGTCACTAGCTTATACACCATCATACCACACCAGGAAGGCATCCAAGACTGTCTTACATATCTACAAGAGCAAGATTACAAATCAGAGTACAGACCTTTACGGTATCACTGAGCTCATATACTTCATCCTGACACACAACAACTTCAGTTTCAACAACCAACACTTCCTTCAGATAATGGGCACAGCTATGGGCACCAAAAATGGACCCACAATATGCCAACCTTTTTATAGCCCACCTGGAAGAAGACTTCCTCAAGAACTGCACCATCAAACCCATGCTATACCTGAGCTACATAGATGACGTCTTCATCATTTGGATCAAAGCCCTCCAGTCTCTGATTGATTTCCACCAAATATTCAATAATCATCACCCCTCCATCAGACTATCATTTGAATACTCTAGCACAAGCATTTTCTTTTTGGGCACCATGATCAATATGCAAAATGGTAAAATACAAACCACTATATACAAGAAACCCACAGACAAACATACATATCTACATAGAACCAGCAATCACCCTAAACACACCAAGAAAGCTGTAATTTACAGCCAAGCTCTCCAATACCACCACATTTGCACTGAGGAGAAGGCACGTAATCACCACCTCACAAATCTCAAAAGGGCCTTCACCCAACAAAGACACTCCTCCAGAGAGATAGAGTATAGTTTAGAAAGAGCCACCCAGATACCACGCGAAGATTTGCTACAGTACAAAAAGAAAATTCCCACAAATCACACACCATTAATTATGACATACCATCCTTCCCTGCAACCTACATGGAAAATCCTCAAACAATTGCAACCCATACTAGAAGAAGATCCAATTCTTAAAGAGATCTTTTCAGAACCACCCATTGCAGCCTTTAAACAAGCACCGAACCTGTTAACCTTATCAAGAGAAGCAAACTCACTATGATCCAAACCACACCAAATGGATCCAGACCATGCCAGGACAACAAATGCAAAACCTGCCAACACATCTCCATCACCCCCACTATAACTACACCCCAAAACTGAACCATCACCATTCCTGGATCTTATGCCTAAACCTCCGGAAATGTTGTATATCTCATCCAGTGCACCAAATGCCCTGATGGAAAATATGTAGAAGAAACCAAACAACAACTGTGCACCAGAATGAACACACACTGAAAATCTATCGAAGACAAGAATATGCAGTTACCTGTGGAAGCACACTTCTCACGGACAATCACTCCCCC